TATTCACCAGATATGCCCAAAGCAGGGGGAAAACGTCAGAGAAAGGGACATTTTCACCTTTGTGCTAGTCTGAATTTCGTACTTCACAAGACTGTCATGAGGATGAAGCGGGAAGATGTTTGGAAGACGTTTAGCCCACAGTGAGCACTTAATAAACATTAGCTGCTGTTTTCTCAGGCACAGAGCTCATTCCAGGAAAGGGAGAGATAGCATTTCCATCATGGGGGGAGTGGAGAAGGGCTGGTACTGAACACATAATATGGGAAACACTTTAAGTACAGAAAGCAAGCCAGGGAGAGGTTTTCAAAGGCTGAGCACTCCAAAAAGGACCAAATCCCAGGGAAGCAAAAGAAAAATTCTGCTCAAGGCTTGAAAAGTTGGGGAAGAGTCACAGGCCCAGAGAGGGCCCCATGCCATGCCAGGCTTTCCAGTAGAGGCTCGGTCCAGACCAGGATGCCCAGGAAGTGACTGGCAGAAGCTCTCACCTCTCAATGCTACTGAAGGTATACTGGGTGCCCTGCTTGGTCTCAATTTCGAAGTCAAAGGAACGAGTGGTGGTGGTACCACGAGCAAAGTTGACAAAGGAGATCTCATCAAAGCGGATGTGCACAGGTGGCTTGTGGACGTAGATGAAGCCCCGCTCCAGGGGGTAGAGCAGTCCTGAGCTCGCCTTGTAGGAGCAGGTGATGCACTGGGCCCCTGAGTGCCTGTGGAGGAGACCAGGAGCCTAGTCAGTGCCTCCCTCAGGGGCAGGTGGCACAGAGCCAAAGGCACATCTCTCAGCAGCGACACACATGTTCTCAGGCCCTCGAGTGAGTAAACCCCGCTACACTGCTCTGATGGAGACAACTGACACCCATCATGCTCTGACCCAACCAGACCTCTAGGAGATTGCGTTCCCAGCCCAGGAGGGATTTACCAAGAAGACACAGCACAGTGCCCCCCAGTCAGGCCAGGACTCCAAGCCGGCACTCTCACCCTTGGAAGTTGCCTGGCACTGTGATCTTGCGGTTGACCAGCGCTTTCATGACCCGGCTGACCATCTCGTACAGGGATCCCGACATGTTCTTAGTGAGTCGCCCCTCAAAGCGCTTCTCCACCTCTTCCCTACAAAGAGAGGAAGGCGAGGTCACAAGCGTTGCTGCCTTCTAATGGCACACCAGTCCCCTGCCTGGACAGGGGAAGAACAGGAGTTCAGGGACACACTCACTCATTCATGTTGAGAGTCAAGGAGATGTCCTCATCCTTGGAGAAGAGGAGGATCAGGAAGTGGTAACGCGTTTGGCCCTGCTTGATGGGGGGATCTAGACTGATCTGGTAAGGAAGAGCCGACAAGGTTTCACACCAATCAGTGTTCCACAAGAATTGCTCATTAACTAAACACCAGCAAGACCGATCTACAGGGCAAAAACCAGGACGAGATCCAGCCCCCATGGTTTCTGCTTACCACAAAAAACATCTGGCGCTGGTCTTTGTGGGGCAGCAAAAAGAGACGCAGCACCGTGGTATAGGGGATCTTGTAGTCGAAGGTCTTGCCGTGAAGGTGCAGAAAGGTGGGGTAGATCCGAATGTCGTAACGGCCTCGGGGAGTCAGACACTGCAGCTCCCGGAAGATGCAGATGGCGTCTCCGGTGGCCTGGATCACATCCGCCTTAGACAGCACATTCTGGGCAAAGGCCTGCAAAAATACACACTGGTAGTCAGGCAGCGGGGGATCCTGCTCCCAGGCCGGCCAGGGCCTGCTCAGCACCGTCTGTTCTCCAGGCGACCAGGGGAGGCCTCACCTCAACTGGGTCCACGCCATCCTCCTGAGTGGGAGGCACATAGAAGCGCACCTCCATGAGGGACACCTCTGCGTCATCGTTCTGGTGGAATTCCAGTGTCACCTCATTCTTGCCGGTGGTACACTGGGACACATTGCTGAGGGGTATCTCAAAGACAGGCTGGTCGCCAATGTCGAAGGAAAGCAGCTGCCCTGCGGGGGAAAGGGCTTATCAACCGCAAGCTCCTCCCCTCAGGTCTGCATAAACGACGTTCCCACCAGACTGTCGATCCCAAGGACAGAGCACTGGGCTATTTGGTCACACTGTACCTGTAAGACCAGGCACAGTGCCTCATACACTACTGGTCCTCAATAAATTTATGATGAATTACAAACTGATAGGAAATCAGAAACTGTAGTGGAAAAAGAGCAAAACAAGGTAAAGGCTGAAACCCCTCATCCTACCTTCTCCTCCAAACCTGTCTTCCCCAGGACTCACCACCAAACTTCACTGTTCCCCAGTTCCAACCCTTCACACAGAGATCCTTCTCCATGAGCTCAAGGCGATAGTGAGTTTTGAAGAAATCCGAGAGTTTCTCAAACTCCTGCGGGCAGAGGGGAGAGAACAGTCCCTGTAAACCCTGGTGGCCTTAACACAAACATTCTGGGATTCTCTCTGAGAAACTGCCCCCATCTACCTTCTATCAGAAACCCAGAAACTGTTGCCAGGGACTGGGTCTCAGAGTAGGGGAGGAGTAAAGTATGGAAATGACATTCCTGATCATAGGCCTCACAATGCTCTCTGATTTTGGATAGGCAGTGCTTTGATGAAAGGGAAATTAAAATGCAGTAAAGTCTTTAACTCAGTTCAAAACAGAAAAACAAACCTCAAACTAAAGCACTAAGACCCTGAATCTGGATAAAGGCAATGAGCAGAAACCACCAAAAAAATCACTACGGTAGAAAACCTGGAGTCAAAGCACAAGACACCCAAAGCTGAACACTGCTTAATGGCCACAATGGCCCTGCTCTGAGAAGCCAAAACTAGCAATTACATGGAGCCCCAAATCTTTCTAGAAGATTAAAAATAAACAAGGTGGCCACAAGACACCTCACCGATTCTCGGAAGCCGTCATACTTGTAGACATGGCCATTCTTTGTAAGCAATTTAAGTCCGTGGCCCAGGGCAACACGGCGCCAGATGCCTTCCGTCAACTCCCCAGCCTGGATGTTGTCCACTTTGCCCGTCTTACTGTTCTTGAAGATGATACCCTGGCGGCTCAACCTCAGCCGACCATCGTTCTGTTCGAAAAACAGGCCCAAATGCAAGGCTACAATACACACTGTGTACAGGGCATAGACAATCCCACCCAAAACCTACACTGGGCTGGCCAGACACAGATGCAGGACCAACAGCTGCAGGGGTGAGGGTCAGAAAGAAGAGACAAGTAACCAGGAAATCTGGATCCTAAAACCAAACCCTGGCATCCAAATCCCCTGCAGGTCCTTAGTCTGCACTGGGATGGAGCAGCATGAACGGTCCCTTTCAAACTGTGACCCTAGAACTCCTATACAGACATTTTTTGAATTACAATGGCTCAACTTAGAATTTTTCAACTTTATGATGGTGCGAAAATGATACTCATTGAACAGAAACCATACTTTGAATTTTGAATATGTTTTCCCAAGCTAGCAACAGGTGGTACAATCCTCTCCTGATGCTGGGCAGTGGCAGCTCCCAGCCAGCCACATAACCACCAGGGTTGATCACCAGGGTCAACAACCGATATGCACACAACCATTCTCTACCCGTTCTGTTTCACTTTCAGGACACAATTTAATAAATTACACGAGGTGTTCAAACTTTATTATAGAGCAGACTTTGTGTTTGATGGTTCTGCCCAACCGTACACTGATGAAAACATTCTGAACCTGTTTAAGGCTAAGCTAACCTACGATGCTCATCAGGTTGGATGTATTAAATGCACTTTCAACTTAAACAGTATTTTCAATTCACAATGAGTTTTTGGGGATGTAACCCCACTGGAAGGGGAGGAAGACCTGGATGCATTGCCTTTTGTTGGGGAAACACCAACTACACATTATCCTCAGACTCCTTTTCTAAAATAGCAACGTCATCAAAGTAAGCTCTTACTGACGGACAAAAAGTCTACTCCTCCTTCCCTCTCTCAGCCTATACTAAAAAGCCCAGGAGCTTCTTACCATGGAGCCTTTCACCTCCTGATAGACGTCGTTGAACTCCAGTGTTTCCGCCATACTGCTCTGCCCCTGTTGGCCTCAACTGGGAGCTGGGCCCCAACTCCTGGGTGGGTGTGCAGACACTCAGCAGGTTAGGAATCTGAATTCAAGAGGGGGCTAGACAAACATCAGAGGCCCATGGATGGAGCCAGGTGGCAACCCCTGGCTGAGCCTGGGAAGTCTCAGTATCTCCTCTGCCTGGGAACCTACAGCAGGCCCTGCAGACCTCAAGGAGTCAGGCCCAGCCCGGGCTGGACGACCCGGCCTGGAGTAGCGCTTACAGCCGGACCAGACACCCGCCCGGGGCGCTCCACCGGGCGCCATGGCAACGAGCAGCAGAACCCCGGGACCTGCCCGGGGCCTGCACCTCAGCCGCGCCCCGACCCAGCTCCCAGTGCAAGGTTTCCCTCCCAGCGCTCCCACCGCGTCGCGGCCCTAGACCCGCGGCTCCCCCGCCCCCTAAAATGGATTCGCCCGCTGCCCGTGGATTCGAACGCGGAACGGTCCATCTTGAGCGTCCCGCGGGGGGAAGCGGGGCCCGCGTCCTCCCAGGGCACGGGGCCGGAGACCACCCACCTCCTCAAGCTGCAGCCTCGCGACGGCCCAGGTGCGGCCGGTGGGCGCGCTGGGGGACGCGGGAGGGGGGGCGGGGACAAGGGGGATTGGGGGGGGACGCTGGGGAAGCTTTTCCCGCGTGCGCGGCCCCGCGTCCCGCCACCGGAAGCCGCGCATGGACCATAGAGAGGGTGTGCGCTGGCTAGAGAGACGCGAGCCGGGCCCGCCTACGAGGCGGCCTCCTAGAGCGTCAACCGCTCTGGAGGACCTGCGGGAAGGGGAGCTGCGATTCAAGTCGCACCGCAGGAGGGAGGGTGTAGGGCTCCTTCTTTAAAAATTACACCTCTTCAGTGGAGGACTAGGTTCTGGAGAGAAATTCTGTAGTTTTCCCTTGTCACGCTTCCCGCAGACGCGTGTGTGTGTCTTTCCGTCCGTCCTGCACAGGAGTGGCTTTTGTGTGGAGTAGAAAGGAGTCTGTGAGGCAGGAAGACAAGACATTTCGAGTTGCGGAGGGAAATGACCCGCCCGCACCCGGGGTGTGTCGGCGTCACGGTGACTGTCCTGCTCTCCCCCGTCACGTGGGACTGGGTCCTCTCTGAAAGGAGTTCTCAGTCCGCACCCAAAAACTTCACTTCTGAAACCAAAGTGTCGGGGAGGCCTGGAAGAGGCTCGCGAACGGCGGTGTCAAGTTCAAGCGCGCGAGTCAGTCACCTCAGAGCCGGCCCTGACTCGAAACCACGTCAGCGCGGGATGGCAGAAGCCGTGCGCCCTCCTGCCGCCAAAAGGCCAGGCCTAGGAGAGGTGTTTGAGTTTGTCCCCCCCAGCCTTCCTTTGCAGATGGGAAAGCCGAGGCCCAAAGAGGATTTGCCCAGGGCCCCAAATCTCCTTACCCCCCTCTAGTTTTCCTCTACACCCAGCACGATTGATGGTACCTGTCCTGCTAGGAATTTTCTTTTAAGATCTTACTTGTTTATTGGACAGAGAGACCACAAGCAGGGGGAGCTGCAAGCAGAAGCAGAGGGGGAAGCAGGCTTCCCACGGCGCGGGGAGCCCTATGCAGGGCTCCATCCCAGGACCCTGGGATCATGACCCCAGCCAAAGGCAAATGCTTAACTGACAGAGCCACCCAGGCGCCCCTAGGACGGAATATTTAAATTCAAGACTTCCCTGACAATTTTGGTTATGCCAGCTTGCCAACTCAATCCTGGGATAAGAGACGGCAGGAATGCTCTGTCGCTCCCTGAACTCATGACTTTAACTCTGGGAAATGGCTATTCCAGCACTGTCTAGCAACATACATTCAGCTGGATTGAGTAACTACGGATTGAGCTCCCGCTGAGTTCTAGGATTTGAGGAAACTCGTAAACAAGATGGGAACAGCCCCAGCCTTCCAGGAGCATGTTATCAAACAAAAGATTCAGATAAGTAAACTCAACAGTACAGCAAAGCAAAATAAAACAAAACACCCCAATGGGATAATGCTGTGCTGCAGGTCGAGCTTCAGCCACTGCTGACTTGAGTTAGGGACGTGAACTATACGACTCTTTAATCACCCCCGCCCCAGGAGATCAAGAGAAATATTCAAGAGACCCTTCCCCGAGACCCATGCTATTGGAGGCAACTCAGGAAGGGAGCGGTCGGTTGCCGAATTGAGTGGCTTTGGGAAGGCATTCACGAATGAAGGGGGCACCCAGCCCTGGGAAGGCTGTTAGGTGGCTGGGGCTGGGGCGTTGCAAGGAGCTTTAAGGAGAGCATGAAGCAGCTGGTGAGCAGGGATGAAGATGCAGTATAAGAGAACAGAACAGAAAGGGTAGACGGAGTGCAGATAAAACATTAGTCCCAGAGGGCCCTAGCCAGCTGCATCCCAGGCAATCAGGAGCCGGGGATTGGAGACCCCACCCCTGCCGTGACATCACAGGGGAGTGGGGTGGAGACGAACAAAAAGGGGGTCCCCCGCCCTGGCCCTGGACTCTTGGCAGCCCAGAGTGTCAAGGGCAGAGAGAGCCTGGACACTGAGCTAGGGTTGCCTGACTTAAAGGAAGAGGCTCCCGGTTCCTCAAGCCCCTCCAAGCTTTGATCTCTTTCTCCCTGTCCTGAGGACCTCTCCCCCCTGAGGCCACCATTGGGTCCCTTTTGAGTGGCCCCTGAATGCTCTCTCAGCATGAACTGCGTGTCAGATTTCTTCACCTACGAGACCACCAAGTCAGTGGTTGTGAAGAGCTGGACCATTGGGGTCATCAACCGGGCAGTCCAGCTTTTGATCATCTCCTACTTCGTGGGGTGAGTCCTGTGGCCCTTCGGGTCATAGCAGGGGAGGGCTGCCTGGTGTCCCGTCAGTGTTGCTGTCCAGCTGCCTGACCTTCTCCTCTCTTGGAGGAAACAGTCTCTACTCTGGAGTCCAAGAACTGGACTCTGCCACCCCCACCAGGGATCTGGTCCCCAGATTAGTTCTTTTCCCCAGTAAATCCTCTGGAGTCAGAGAGTGGTTTCTAGGCACACACCGCAAGAAGTGGGGTTCTTGCACTGGTGCCACCCTCCACCAGGAGAGGTCCCAAGTGACCATCTTCCCTCTCCCTTCTTTCCTGCTCCCACCAGAGAACAGACCACCTTCACACCTTCCCATTCTCCTCAGCCAGTGCTTTGGGGTCTCACAAAGAGGAGGGAGCACAGGAAAGGGGAAGGGATGGCACTGACATGAGGGAGACAGTGATGGGTCGATCAGGTCGATGGTGGGATGGGAAGGAGAGAACTGGACCGCTTTGGAAGGAGGGATTCCCCTGCTGGCTTGAGGAGATGGTGAAAGAACAGGGCAAGGGGAGAAGCCCTTGTTCTTGGAAGGTAGGACAAAGCAGGGTGTCTGCGGCTTGGGGAGGGGGAGAGACACGGGCACAAATAACTCAGTGGAAGAGCTGCTCAGGGGAGAGTGGCTTTTCTGCACACAATCCAGGGGACCTCCTCGTGAATCCAGAAACACTCCCCTTTCCCAGAAAGCATAAATTCTCTACTGCTACTGACTTTGTACCATATAACCCATCCCAGGAGTTGCTTAAGAGCCAGTGATCCGAATACCCCCTCTCGGCTCCCACCTCTAGAGGCATCCACCGCCCCCACACACACACACATACGCACACATATGCACCAAGGGCCATGGAGCAGACAATGGTTCCGTCCTTCTTGTGGTCATTTGCACCCACTGGTGGGCACCAGAAATGACAGGCAGAAACCTCTAGAGTTTTCTTTCCTGGTGTGTGGGTCTCTAGTCTCACGCTGTTGCCTGAGACAATAGCTCTGTGTATGAGAAACGACAAGCCACGGACAACTGTCATGAGTTAATTCAAGTCAGTCAAAGAAGACATCCGGTGTGTGCGTGGGCTGGAGCTGCGTGTGCGTGGGCCTCCTTGCCTGAAAGGTCGGAATAGTGTGTGATCGTGTGTGTGGAAAAGTGGGCAGGCGTGGATCAAGGGATTTTTTTTTTTGCTTTGCATGCTTTGTGGGAGCCAGTAGGACTCATTTCTGTGGCTGCTGTAGGCAAGGCTGTATTTCTAGTACTTCTCTCAGGGATATTAGAGAAGGGATTCAAGCTTTGGGGTAAGAAAAATGGCCTTGAAGCTTACTTACAACTTCGAGGTTTTGTGAGGTATGGTGTTTGCAAATGTTCTGTGTCTGCATCTCCAGAGGCTGGCTCAAAGTTGGTTCTTAAATGTTCCATGTTCGCCTGTACATGCAATGGTGTCACTGTTTATACCCACAAGACGGTGTGGGGGTTCAGGTGGGTCCAAAAGCTGCCTCAGCACATTCCTGACTCTGTTGGCTCCAGGTGGAAGGTTGATGGAGGGTAGACAGCGGCTCCTGGACCAGCCTGCTCTGCTCTCCCGCTGCCCCTGTCTCTCCTTCATTGTGATATGATCTGATGCTCTGATCCTCAGTGCTGGAGCCCGCCCTGCAGAAACAAGCATGAGAGGCTCTTTGGCGTCTTGATATCCAACCCCATCCATCTCCCAGCCTGACAGCTCCCCACGGAGCTGCTCCTTCCAGTTACATCTGTGCAGTCTGTAGCCCAGCCCCCTGGCCTGAGCCCCATCTCTGTGCACATGAGCCCAGGCACCATTAGGACTTCATGAATCCATTGTCTTTAATTTAGCAGAAATTTATCAAGCATTTCTTCATGCCAGGCGTTGTGCACCAAGCATAGAACATGGGCAAAAGCAGACAGGGCCCTCACCCTCATGGAGGTTACAATGCAAGAGATGCACATTAATCAACAACCTCCACAAAACAAATGTAAAATTTCAACTGTGGCTCAAGATTTGAAGAAGAGGTGCACAGTGCTAGGAGAGCTGCTAGTATGGAGGCATTTGACCTGGTCGGGGAGCTAAGAGAAGGTTTTCTGGAGATGTGATGCCCAAGCCAAGATCCGAAGGATAAGTAAGAGCAACCCAGGAGAAAAAAAGGGAAGAAAGAGCGTTCAAGGCAGAGAAACCCAGCTCTGTGAAGGGAAAGAGCCAGGCAAATGGGGAGAAGAAAAGAAGGTCTCTGTGGCTAGAGCAGAGGGAGCAAAGGTGAGGGTGGTTGTAAGATGGGGGTGGGACAACACCCAGCCAGACCTCAGACACCCTCCGAGCTTTCGTTTTTACACAGGGGCAATGGATGGGAATTCTGTGTGTGTGTGTGTGTGTGTGTGTGTGCGTGCGTGTGCGTGTGTCTGTGTCTGTGTCTGTGTCTGTGTGTCTGGGGGCAGGGGCGGGGGGAGACAGACAATGAGATCCGAGCTGGGAAGATCACTCTGGCTAATTCACTGAGTGATTGGAGTGGGTAGGAGTGAATGCAGTGATTGGAGAGGGCAGTGCAGTATATTGAGAGAGATGATGGTGGCCTAGACTCAGTAGAATTTGAAAGGATTTTTAACGCTGTAATGTTAATATCTAACTAGGACTTGAATCTCTTCCATAGTATCCCTGCGAGGTAGACCAGATGCACAGTCTTCCTAGGACACGTGTAACATGAGCCAACCGTTTCTCTTATGCATTTACCACAGCATGCCAGCTAATTGTCTCCACATGTGCTCTCACCCCTGCTCCAGCCTCAGCTGCTTGTCTGGAGTTGACAGCACTTCATCCCTGGTGTCTATTACCCACCCAGATGCATAGAGACACCAGTGGTGTTTCTACATGGCTTTCCCAGGGCCCAGGTGGCAATCCCCAGTCTCCTCTGTGGGGTGGGGCTTCCTAAGAACCAATCTCTTGTTGGGATCCTAAGACACAGGAGATCCCTAGGGACTGAATTTCCAGAAGTGCTGGCTGTTCCATGGCCTGAGCTAGTTTGCAGAGCCTCCTGGAAGGAAGCCACCTCCCTGCAAACCAGAAGAGGGCCACTCCCGGCCATCTGATGCTCCATCATCAGAAGGACCTGTGGTGGCTGGTGGTGCCTTGGACCCCTCACAGCCCTGCTCTCCCCATCCCTTCCTCCCCCTGCAAAACCTGATCCACAGACTCACTATTTGCACAGCTGTCCCGTTTGGTTCATAATATTCAGCCTTGTTTTGGATCTTTTTTTAAAAGATCTTTTTTATTTATTTACTTCTTTATTTGAGAGTGAGAGGAAGAGAGAGGGCGGGGGGAGCAGCAGAGGGAGAGGGACAAACAGACTCCACGCTGAGCATGGAGCCTGATGTGGGGCTCGATCCCAGGACCCTGAGATCACGACTTGAGCCAAAATCTAGAGTTCGATGCCCAACCAACTGAGCCACCCAGGTGCCCCATGCCTCACTTTGAATCTTATGAAGAAGCTCAATACATAAAGTGGTTAAACAGAGGAGCTGTTCTAGCTTAAAGAGAAGGGCCTGGGATTCCACCTTCTTGACCCACCACCCCATCATTTCAGCCTAGAATAGCACCCTGAGGCATCCCGTGGGATACTAGGTGACAAGTATGGTGGGAAGACCTGTTGGAACCCACCTTACAGATGCAGAGAAGAGTGTCACTCTTGTCTCCCCCACCCCTCTCTGCAGCCCCATGATGGGGAGACCGTTGAACGAGGACCCCCTGGTTAGAAGCCTCACTGTGACACCAACTAGGAGTGGGGCTTGGACAGGTCACCTTACGTCTCTAAGTCTCAGTCCTTGTATCTGGAAAATGGGTTTAGGAATGCCTGCCCCAGGGAGTCACAGCAAGGAGAACCATCATGTCAAGTGCCTTGCCTGAAATGGGAGACCCACTAATAGAGGGCAACAATTGTCATTTCCTAGATCCCCCAACACACCTCCCCCTTCCCCGCCATCCAGCTCACACCTTCCTCAGAGACCCCTCTCCTCCTGGCGCACAGAGCACACACTCCCCACGCCCACTCCGCAGCCTCCTCCCTGACTCCTTGGGGGTGGACAGAAGGGTGCCGGGATGCTGCTCTGGCCTCCTTCCTGTACATCCCACCTGCCAAGGAGCTGCCACCCGCCTTCCAGTCTATAAATAATAAACCAGGAACACGAGGAAAAAAAAATAAGAGCAGCAGAGTAAATGCCAAGAATTGAAGGCTTAGTCCTGCCCCATCTCCTCAGCCCTGGCCTCTAGAGACAGACTCAGCCCCCTCTGTTCTGGAAATGAAGCATCCCCTTATTTTGAGCTGCCCTGATGACGTCCTTGGGCCCCAAGGGGCCACTGAAATTCTTCCGCTTATTATTTAACTCAGAGAGAGAATTCTGATGTGGCCTCTCCTACCCACTGGGCACAAGAAGGAGCCTTGAAGGAGGAGAAAGGTGAGCGAGATAGGTTAATTGTTCTTCCGAGCCCTAGGGCCCTTCCCCCTGAGACTTTCCCGGAGCTGCAGATGTTCCCCTAGTGACCGACAGGACCAGCAGCACTGGGACCAGGATCCCGTTCAGGGTGTAAGTTGGTTCTGAGCAGTCTGCCCAGGTTGGAGCCCACCTACCGGCTTGGCAAGTTAGCACAGTACTCTGTGCCTCTGTTTCCTTATCTGTAACGTAAGCAGAACAATAAAGGGCTCTCACTGGGACGTGGTAAGGACTCCATGAACCCTTACCACATAGAGCACTCAGCAGGCTGTGTTGGTTAGATAATAATAATCTGAACCCCGCTTCTCATCTGCAAATGTTCCTGGACTTTAAGGACAGGGTAGGGGGCCTTGGGAAACCATGTCATTAGATCACCACTCAGAGATGTGTCCATTCCGTGGCCAGGCACACTGAGGCTCTAGAGGGCGTATTGCAACTGTGGCTTCTACTGGGGACAGAGGTGCGCTCAGTTGGGAGCAGGGAGATCTGGGCCCTCAGCCTCACTCCCTCCACTGCGCAGGGCCCCCACCCGTGAGCTGATAATACTCATTCGGACATAAGGTGGTGGATGACATTTCTGTGAAACCCATACTTCCTTATGAGACTTGATGAAACCCCTCCCCTTCCAAAAAAAAAGAAGAAAGGTGCTAGGAAAGGAAAGCACATCGCACCACAAAAGTCCACACAGGCGGGGTGTTCGTAAGAGCCTTCTACAAACCTGTGACCCCCTCCTAACGGTGCATCCCTCAGGGCACCACCTGCTCTACAGCAGCAGCAATAAAACCGGGGACAGGTTAGGAGCCATCCACCAGCGCTGTGACTCCACCCTTTCTCTCCCACTCAAGAGAGCATTCGCATTCGGAATTCAAGCGCATGAGGGAAGCCCCATGCTGGGGATAACTCCCAGCCCCCTCACTGAAAACTGAGCGAAGAGTCTCTTGCAAATGTCAGCCTGTCTGAGCACAAACATGACGGGCAGGTGCCCCATCCCACAGGTGACTGTGACCCCCCAGCATGACCCAGGAGCTCTTCCCCTCTATGGGGACCCAGAGGTCATCCAATCCAACCACCCCCCAACTGAACACCTCTCCTTAAGTCTTCCCAGGCATGTGGAACTCACCACCTCCCACAGCAGTCTGCTCTTGGACAACTTTCTGGGGCTGGAAAGCTCCCAGGCTTGAAGTCCCAACTCCCTCCTTATAAAGCCGTCAGGTCAGCTTCCCAGCCTAGCGCGCCCCCAGCTTTGTGTTCTCTGCACTACACCGTCTCCAGTCCCCTCCTCCTGCTCATCCTCAACCTTGTGCCTCCCTGGTTAGCCAGCAGAAAATGCCCTAATCGAGCATTTCCAAAAGTGCACTCCCCAACTCTACAAGATGTCACCAGCATTTCTCCAAAAGTAAGAGTGTGTGCGGCATTTTCCAAACGTATTTGATGACCTTTTCTCATCCGTGCAATGGGGACAGTGACAGCATCTGCCTGCCAGTGTGCTCTCGGGCTACAGATAGGGCAGGCCGCAGGCTGGAAGCGTGCTATCGAGGCGGAGATTGGGTCGAGCCTTGAGGGCTGTGATGAGAAAGGCGGGCACCTCACAGAACTGCAGAGGGAAGAGTTGCCTGCAGGCTCTTCTTGCTGCTGGGGAAAGCTGCCAGAGTCCGGGGAGGGACGTGGGGGTGGAAGGAAGGGGGCCCTCCCTGATCCTGGCCGCGGGAAGAAGGCAGTACAGGTAAATGTCCACTGGGTGGCAGCACAATGCAAGGAATAAGATTTGCGGCCTCTCCCTGCTTAACCCAACTCCTACCTGCCAGGGAAAGGCTCAGCGGCTGCCCCAACCTTCCTCCTCTACCCTTCTCATCTGGCGCCTGCACAGATGGAGACTCCTCCAAGCACCCAGCTCCCAAATGCCTTCACTGCCTTGTTTACTGAACACCTACTATGTGCCGGCACTTAGGGTACACCCATGAGCAAAGCCTGGGATGCTCAGGGTCAGAGGCTTGGGATGCTTTGTCCCTCCTCTTGCCTGCCAAAGAGGTGGCCTCCTGGTCAGGGGGAATGACTACGCATTGGCAAAGGGGTGATGTCACCCTCAAGGGGGTGAAAATTTGTTCTTGAGGGATAAAAAAAACTCACTCTTCTTATGTGTAAAGCACAAATATACATACAGCACATAAGTTAATATCTATACTTTTAAAATTTCATGATGGGGCGGTTAGGGGAGAAAGTCTACAAATGGTCCTGAAGCGGGAAATGGGAAAGATGGAAAAAAAACCACTCTAAGCCAACTCAGGGCGAGGTCCCTCCCCTCCAGCACAGGCCTTCCCCTGACCAGACACTCCATGCGGTCTAGTGTTGGGGAAGAAAACCTCCCGGCCTCTCTCTGCTGGTCCTAGACCCTCCTCTCTTACTCTCCATCCCTGCTCTCCTGCCCAGGTGGGTTTTCTTGCACGAGAAGGCTTACCAGGTGCGGGACACAGCCATTGAGTCCTCGGTCGTCACCAAGGTGAAGGGCTTTGGACGCTATGCCAACAGAGTCATGGACGTGTCTGATTATGTGACCCCACCCCAGGTATGGTTCCCCTACCCCAGGGCCACAGGTAGATTCCCAGATGCTGGGGCAAGGCAAGGAGGGTGCCAATGGGATCCGATCCCCAAACCAGCGTGTGTGGCATTAGTGATCAGAGAAACCCCTCCCCAGTGGCTGGGAGGTGCCGGGGAGGGGGGGTCGGGGGGTGCCCTCCAGAGTGCAGCACTAGGTATCAGGACAGTGGGGTAGGTTCTGCCACACTCATCCTGTGATCAACACAACACACAGAGGGAGCAAGAGAAGCTAGGTGGGTGGCTGGACTTGACTTGGACCCACCTCTGCCCTTTATTAGCCCTGTGACCTTGGCCAGATCTCTTAGCCCACACCTTAGTTTCCCCACCTGTAGAATGGGGATTGGTACTGGTGAATTTTTTTTTCTCCCTTCTCCTACCAAGGGCACCTCTGTCTTTGTCATCATCACCAAGATGATAGTCACTGAAAACCAGATGCAAGGATTCTGCCCAGAGGTGAGGGGAGGGAGGGAGGTTGGTTGGAGCAGGTCAAGGAAGAAAATGCTGGGAGTGGGGAGCGGTGGCAGGGAGGGGCGTGGTTATATGCAGAGGTCGAGCTCCAGCCTTGGAGCTATGTCTCAAGACCTCCACTTCCCAAGGCCCCTGGTTATGGGGAAGCACTGGGAGCCAAAGGGCTCATCCAGGGCCAGAGCAGGGTCCTACACCCACCTGCAGACGTGTCTCCCCACAGAGCGAGGAGAAGTACCGCTGTGTATCAGACAGCCAGTGCGGGCCTCAGCGCTTCCCGGGTGGGGGTGAGTGCAGCCCTTCCCCACCCCCTTACAACCCCAGGGTGTTCGTGGGACCCTGGAAGGCAGCACAGCCCCCATGGCGGAGAAAGTGGGAATTGGCCTGTTCCTCGCCATTCTGCCAGCACTTAAGACACTGGCTGGTGTCAGACCCGGTGGGGGCCGCCCCCGGAGGAGCTTGCAGCCCAGGGAGCAGGCCTGCATGAGGCAGCAAGTGCTGTGAAGGGGGGCAGTGGGTGCTGGGGAAGGGAGAGGGATCTGTTCCAGGTAGGGGGCCCCCCATGGCTTCCTAGAGGCAGGGACATTTTAGATGGGCCCTGAAGGATGGGAAGGAGTTGGCAGGATAGAAGGGGTTTGAAAGAACATTCTAGGCAGAAGGAACAGCTACAGCAAAGACTCGGAGGCAAGGAAGAGCACGGTGTGCCCTGGGAACAAAGAGAACAGGGCCCTCAGGGTGGCTGGGCCCAGAACGTGTCAGAGGAAGGCTGTCACCTCCCCTTAGCTTGGTCTAGGGCTCAGGAGGAGCCAAGGGCGAGAGCTCAGCAGGGCTCCTGTACCCCGGGTCCACCTCCCCTGCCCTGCCTGTCTGTCCCCTCCCCTGCGGCATCCCTGAATGGGGGGTGGTCCCTGATGAGAGGTGGGGTGGGGGTGAGGGAGTAGCAAAGGGCCAGGCAGGCACCCAGCACGTGTGGCTCCCCCTGGCAGGGATCCTCACCGGCCGGTGCGTGAACTACAGCTCTGTGCTCCGGACCTGTGAGATCCAGGGCTGGTGCCCCACCGAGGTGGACACAGTGGAAAGGTGAGGACCCCGCCCCAGCTCTCCTTTGCCAATAGGGGGAGCTCTGCATCTCGAGCCTGCAGAGGGTCTCCTGGGTTCCCCTAGTAGTATCCACTTCTGGGGGGGAAGTGGCCTCAGGATGGCGCCTTTCCCCCCTGCCTCACCTGCCACCTCCCTCCCTCTGTCCCTAGAGCCCCAGGGAGGCCATGACCAGGTGCCCGGTGGGAAACGTCCCCCGAGAAAGGTGGTCCCTGGGGCGAAAGCCCCGTGTTTCCTCTTCCTCTTCCCAAGAAGCTAAGGCCCCCTTGTTCTCACCCACAGGCCTGTCATGATGGAAGCCGAGAACTTTACTATTTTCATCAAGAACAGCATCCGCTTCCCCCTCTTCAACTTTGAGAAGTGAGTCCCAGCTCCCTCCCTAAAGCAGAAGGCAGGGCACCCACCCCACCCTGCCAGCTCATTTTCAGAGGGGTGGAGAATCCCGCCCACACGGTTCTCCACACTTTCTCACCCTCTGCCCACCTCCCTGGGGCTCCTAGCCCCGATCTCCTAGCTGGCCTTGACCAGCGAGCATTAGGTGGGCCCTGGAGCCAATCTCTTTGCCAGCCTCCCGCCTTGGGGCTCGGAACACAGATGGGAGCTCTGCTTGAGGCAGGCGAGGGACAGGTTCCACCTGGGCCTGGAATCCAGATGCCTGCAAAGGTCAGGGCCCAAGGGGGGACGTCATGTCCTTTCCTTTCCTCCCACGTCAAGCCCACGGGGGGCGTCCCTTCTTGACAGGCCAGTTGGGAGTTCACTGACTCCTTCCCGCGGCAGGCCCCCCGTGGGCATCAGGCATGTACAAAGCACAACGCCAGGCACCACGGAGGTGCTGAGAGAAGTCAGGCGTGACTCCTGCCCCCTGGGACCCCCAGCCTGGGAGCTGGGGGACATTAGACACGAACACACTCAACCCTGATGCAGAGAGAGGGGATAGGAGTCGTAGGGAAGATGCAGGAATGGAGGAGACGGAGCCCGCGAGTACCCAAGACACCAGGTCCCAGATCCTCCTGCCTGGGCTGGAGAAGGCCAGCGACGTTGGTGCATGCCTGTCTTCACACCAGCCCCTGGGCCTTGCTTCTCTCCTCTCCTCCTCCGCAGGGGAAACCTCCTTCCCAACCTAACAGCCGCTGACATGAAGACGTGCCGCTTCCACCCCGACAAGGCCCCCTTCTGCCCCATCTTGCGGGTGGGGGATGTGGTCAAGTTTGCAGGGCAGGATTTTGCCAAGCTGGCCAGCACGGTGAGGACCTCACGAAAGACCCGGGGCCCCTTGGCATGCGGAGGGTGGAACTACCGGGAAGGCGGAGCAGCGGCGAGGCAGCAGCGCCACCTAGTGGAAGCACGTCAGGCCTGCAACTGGCTCTGTGCCTCGCCGCGGGCTCCCACCCCTGACCTGAGGGGCCGTGCCTCCCGCACCCTTCCCGCCAAGCCGCGGTCTCCCATTCCCGCCTTCACACTTGACCTTAGTGCTCTGAAAAAGCCCACACAACGGGAAAGTGGATCCTGGATTGCTGCTAAGAGAAGCAAGACAAAAGCAGGATCTAGAGACCCGAAGGTCCACGTCCCTGACTGCAGTACTTTGTTTACTAAGCGACGTGTGCCAATAGGAAGAATCACGTGTCTGTGTGTCACGACCCCCAGCCCCCACCCTGGCAGGCGGCGGAGACGGCCCTCCCTCCTCATATGTGGCCCCTTTGCACAGGGTGGAGTCCTGGGCATTAAGATCGGCTGGGTGTGTGACCTGGACAGGGCCTGGGACCAGTGCATCCCCAAATACTCCTTCACCCGGCTCGACAGCGTCTCGGAGAAGAGCAGCGTCTCCCCAGGCTACAACTTCAGGTAATCCCCTGTCTCCTGGGACCTCGGGAGGAGGAAGCAGGGGCTGTTCTAAAGAGTCACACCTCCAGCAGCCGTGTATATCGGGAAGAAAAGACCCCATGTACCCCCATCAGGTGTTGGCTCAAAACCAGGAAGGGCTTTCTAACTGTTGCCGTCCCTAGGAGATGGACAGGCTATGTCAGCGGTGTGAGCATGTGACCAAGGTCTCCCAGAATGCATGTGCTGTGATTCTGAGCCCTTCTTAGCTCTGGCTCTGAAGCTGTCCTGAGCCTAAGGGACACCCAGGCAGCCCTTCTCCGGTGCCTGCATTTTCTAAGGTTTCTCAGTCCACAAAGCCAGAGCAATAGTGGGATGAGTTTACAAGATGGGAAGTTTGTCTTTCTGTTCATAACCAGGAAGTTTCATCTGACTCACAAATAACAAATGGTCACAATGACCATTAGTGATCCCTTGCTATTCCAACCAAGAGCTCAAACCGGTCTCTAAATATCATCTAGTTTATATCCCCAATGGCCTTGAGCCATAAGGAATCTCTCCCTGACGCCCCCTCCCATCACCCCCATCTTGAAGAAAAGGAAAAAGAAGAACCTGGGGTTAACTATCTGGAACCAGCTGAAACTGAGCAAGCCCTTGGTCTTCTCCCATCCTAATTTCCCCGTCTATGAAATGGCCATAGTACCATTATCTTGAGGATCCTGTTGGCCAAGGTGTGAAAAGCTTCAGCTCTCTGTTTTGTTTTGCCCTTGATTTTTGAAGACCCGGAAGTTTCTGGCAGAGCCCTGGTTACATACAACAGTGCTATACACTAAACAGGAGACATTGGCTAAATAGGCAGTGATCAGGAAAAAAAAAAAAGCACACATGAGAATATACTTCAGTTATATATCCAAAGAATTGTTACTCGAACTTTCTTTGTGGTGGTGGTGTTTTCCAATATAATGGCGGACATAAGCAAAAAAAAATAATCATTTCACCTTTTTCTTACTTTTATTTGTAGTTTTAAAACTACATCTAAAACTACGTCCCATTACACTTTATATTTAATAGTTTAAAATATATATGTATATTCTCTGGAGAGAAGAATTTTTTAAAATTGAAAGTGCTTTCATAATCAACTCCAAACTTTAAAAAACCATAGGAAACAACACATATTTTAAAGTAGGTTAAAAATACTGTTCAGCTCCCTGGCAGAAATTGGCATATTTATTCAGTGGGTACATCACACAGAAATCAATACAAAGGATATTTGTATGGTGGCTTAAAATAGCAACATATTAATAAAATTCTCAGGATCTAAAATGCAAAGTTTTCATCTTCATAACTTCCCTGTGGCCAGTGGGAATTCTTCAATTTCCCAAATAACTTACTTGGCAGGAGAGCTTATAAAGAATGTGAACTATGATGAAGACCCCTACTACGGGTGCCACACAGTTTTAGAACAAGCTCTTTGATCTAAAGAAGCAATGGTGTGGAGTTCTCAATCTCTAGTGCATTGTGCTTCAGCTGCCCCTCCACCCCGACTCCCCTTCCCGGTCCCCCCTCACCCCCACTCCACACGGCAGAATGTGAGGTGGACCTGGTCCTAAATCAGCTTAGGTTGTATTTGGGCAGACAGATCCGAGGATCCCTGAGCCTAACCCCCAGGGGCCTATGAGAGGTGTGGACCCAAATAACTAACCCCCTCACCAAAGACCCCCAGGCCAGAGTAGGAAGGGACAAAGCTGCTCATTTTGACCCCCCTGTAGTTTAAAAGAATTTCCAGAGCGATGGCATGGGGGGGCATCTGGCAGCCATGACAAGCAGAGGTCTCCGCCCAAGCCCCCTCAGATCCCTCCCCTGGGTGCCCACCCACCACCTCATATTGCTTTCAAGCTACTGGCACCACACGGACCTCCAAGGCTGAGCTAAGCGCCCACGTTGGAGAGGCCACAGAGAATAAAGATCACAGCCAGGTTCGGCACTGCTGTTTCTGATAATGGTAGACCTTCGGATCCCACAAACCTCCTGATCTGTGGGCACCATACTCACCACCCTGGGTGCCGAGTGTTTCATGTGCTTTGGTCCATTGTTCCTTACCCGCTCTGTGAAGTAGAAGCCACAATCCCCCCACTTCACAGATGAGAAAACAAAGACTTGGCGGAATGAAGCCAGTTTCCCCAGGTCACACAGCCAGTAGGCATGAGAGCCTGGACGCAAACACATTTTTCTTGGATGATTTCCACACAGCCAGGAGGGCTGGGGACATTCATATTTGTGAATCCTCAAAAAAACATGCCCATGTGGTTGATACTTCCGTCACTTAAAAACGAAGAAACTGAGGTCCACAGAGGCTAAAGGACTAGCGGCTGCTGGAGGCACAATTCAGGGTCTGGCCTTTTGTGTCCCCAACAAATTCGTCTGCTACTCCCTCTCTAACAGAGGCCAGAGTTTTTTTAAATGTCCTACTGTTGCCATTTGCTCTGGAGGAAATGCAGTCATTCAGCCAAGAGTCAGCCTTGTTTTAATCTGCACACTCAGGCAAGAGGCAGCTAGAGATTCTCATTTCCATCACTAATTACTTCTGCAGCTCCTTTCCAAATGCCCCCCCACCCCACTTCTTGCAGCTCTTTGCCTGTAGGATCAGAGATTTAGAGAATTGGTAGCCACCGAGGACCCCTGGGATACCCCTAGGCTGGGGTGGCCATTTCACCAATGAGGAAGCAGAAATTTCAGAGGGGAAGTGACTTGCCCAAGGTTACAGAGACATCCTAAGGAGCCTTCAAGGTCATTTGTCCCAGCTCTAGCTACATCAGTCTCCCAAACATGGGGCCACTTCCCAAAATGGCCTGTCCCTCATTGACAGCTCCAATTATTGGAAAGGTGACCTTGTATTGAGCCAGAATGTGTCTCCGTTCGACTTTCCCCCAAATTACCTGGTGCCGTCCACCGAAATTAATCTTTATTTGTGTGATCTCCTGAAGCTGCCATCTGTCCCAACCTAACAGCCGCTGACATGAAGACGTGCCTGAAACTTGGTGGAAAGATTTTGTTTTCACTCCTATATCTATTCTGTATGGCTAACCTCTCCAGGAGCCACTTTAATTTGGTACTTTTATGAAGCCTCTTTCCAAGTACATTGAGATGTGGCATTGGTGGGTCCATCCGGATTAGTAGTGGGCAAAGGACAGCATTTCTAAAAAGAACTGGCGAGAGTCACCAGGGACCCCACCAGCAAGGGGGGGTGTAGACAAGGGCTGAGTTCTGGCATCACAGGGGGACCCTCCGTTCGCCGGCACAGGATTTTAACCAGGGAGCTACCCCCCCGCCACGGTTCTGGGGGATGTGAGTACTATGTCTTTGAGTGAGCGGGTGTGTTTGTTAGGGGATGAGCGTGAATCTGTGGGTGAGTGTGCCTGAGCGGGGCCTGTGTGTGTGTGTGTGTGTGTGTGTGTATGCGAGTGTGTGAGTGAATGTATGCGAGCGCATGGGAGTATGTGGGCAGAGATGGTACAAAAACCGATTGAAAATACTGTAGCAGTCAGGGTCCCAGCAGGAAACAGCACACGCAGACTGGGTGACATGAGGAGAGTTCAATAAAAGGACTGTTTCAAAGGTGTGGGCAGGATGTAGGGAAACCACGAAGGATAGCACAGGGCCTGGGACCAGCAACGGGACATTGGTGACTGCCCAGGTCTGAAGGGGCGAAGGCAGGAAGCAGTTAGTGGGACCCAGAGATACCGCTGGGGGGACAGGAGCTGCCAGGGGAGGCAGCCCAGGGTAGGGTGGGGAAGGCAGGAGCGCCGGACCAGGGGTTTCCTTCATGAACACTTGGAGGTCTCTAACCCTTATAGCCCCCGGATGAACTCATGGACCAAATGCCCAGTAAGATGCACATATTCATACACATGAGCAGTTCTGCAGGCAATTTCTTTGTAAAAAAAAAAAATATATATATATATATATCTTATTTCTACAAAAAAAGATATAAATACATCCTCAGAATAATAAATCCAAGCGATCCTGATACATAGGCGTGATGATGTGGAGACTCCCGTTCCTTCCTCCAGCCTTTCTCCCCTTATAGGAAGTTAACATCTTGGACAGTTTGGCGGGCTTCCCTCTAGTGCTTTTTCTCTGCGTTTATGAGGCATACAATTCCAGGACTCTGAAGATCTTTTAAAGCCCATCCCCAGACCTCAGATTGAGAGCCCCTAGAGTTAAGTTTGCAAAGCCTTTTTGTGCCTATTTTGACAGGATTCACAGCTCACCCCCACACCCCCATAGTAGGCTCGGAAAGACGGAGACTTGCCCAAGATTATACAGCTTAAGCAAGAGGAACATCGGGACTCAAACCCGGGGACCCGGTCCATCTGTAGCCGCGGCTTCTAGCACACCTTCCACCGTCACATCGTCAGAGTGTTTGCAACAAAGAAGCGAGCGGGAGAGACAGGCCCAGCAGTGATGGCGGGAACGATGGACAGAAGCAAAACGGTGCGTCTCGCGACGTCGGATTCGTATTTCTCCTCTGAGAGCTCCCGAGTCAGCTTTGCTACAAAAAGGCAAGGCAGTTTTGGATTTCCTGTCTTGGTGTCTGGGACAGAAAACACTTGTTCAGCTGCTAGATGTTCCTCATGCCGGAGGTGTTTCTAGTGATGGTTTCGTGTTGGAAATGAACCCACAACAGCTTTCCTGGAGCTCGGAAATTTGGCGCCTGCTCTGCTTCCCATGCACAAACGTGCAGATCAGCAAGATCTTAGGCCAATTGACAGAGATGGAATCGAAAGTGCGCCCTTGGCTTTGATCATTCTTTCTGCAATCTGGATTTTTCTCCTTCCAAAAGCCATAGAATATGTGTTTAAAAAAGCAGCCATCTTCCATCATCTCCACAGAGATGCCTGAAGGCCCCGCTGACGGGAATGTATTTTGCTTGCCTTCGCCATGATCCATTTCCCTCTTTGTTTAGGTTCAAGTGGAAGGAGAGACCATTAGAGCGATCCGGAATTTATACAGCCTTTTATAAT